AAAGAACATCGGCTGTTTGTCCACACAGTAGACCATGCTCGGCTGGCCGCCATGTGTGAGAATTTTCAGCTGCGTCACATTCGCCTTTGCCGGCAGCAGATTGTCGCCCGGCACATGTGGAAAGGCTAATTCGAGACGAGCTCGCAGCTTTTTGGATTCGGAGCCTTTGAGAGCGGCACTGCTCTTTAACCTGTAGGGTTTTAAAAACATGAGCGGAACTTACGAACAATTTGCGCACGTAAACTAAACTAACTAAGTAAATAGAAACTAATAGTCGGTCACAATAGACACACGCCGTCGGCTGATGAGCGAAAAATAAACAGCTGATCCGTCACTTTCAAGAGTAGCTAAACAATATATTTAAATGATCACTATATGAATTCCATTATTTTTAAGTGTAATTTCCTTTATAATTGTAGTTGATTGCTGTGTGGATAACTAATGCACATTTCATAATATATCGTAAATTTATATATGCGATAGTTCACAATAGATTTTTGTTGATTTTCTGTTTGCAGTTTGCCGGCTGCACTGTTAAGGTTGCGCAAGAAGGAGCTGCGTTACTTTTAATGTTAACTAACAGTTCGATGATGACGTCACATTTTCGGCCCTGTTACCCGATTTGAAATTTGGCGGGCACTTAAGCAAATATTCCAAATATTAATTAAAGAAATTTTGTAACAGTTACAAGATATTTAAAAATAAGTTAAGAGCTGAATTTAACAAAGAAAGGGAAAAATAAGATGTCAAAAAACTATTTATACACTGCGTTTTCCAATTCTGTTATGCTCTAATCTTCCAGAACAATGTTAAACTACAGCTGAGTAAACGTAGATAACTTTATGCTTTAGAATGCCTGCCAAAGCTTTCATATGGTCCAATGCATTTATTACAATCACAAGATTTCCTAATCTGTTTACAGACTTTGTAAGACAGAATAAATCATCAAAAACAATAAAAAAAAAAAAAGATAAGCTATTTAGTTCACTGAGAGCGCTATAAAAAAAGAAACAATAAAAACCTTAAAGTTGTTTCTCTTAAATTGTACTCAATAAAAATGAATACTCTTTTATTTGAAGAATAAAATAAACGTTCACACCAAAGACTCGCTTGATGCAAATTAGCACGCTACATTCGACGATCTCAAATCGTTTTGTGAGTTAATTATGCATATGAATAAATTATAAGTATAATAATATTCGAAAAGGAATGGAGCTTAATCGAAGTATTTCTTGAATTCCAAGCAACCGGCCCAGTTCTCATCCCAGCCGGGAGTCACCTTCTTGGCGTTCTCGTACCACTTGTTAACGTTCGCGTACTTGCTGATGTCGAATTTGGCCACTTCGAAGCTGGACACGGTGGCCAAGATGGCGATGTCGGCGACGGTGAGCGAGTCGCCAGCGACGTAGGTCTGACCCTCCAGGAAGGTGTTCAGGAAGTCGAAGGCAGCCTCGATCTTCTTGAAGGCCTCGGGATCGGCGGGCGCCTTGGCGAACACCTGAGGATAGTAGTAGTTGGCAAAGCTCTGGTACAGGGTGCCCATGTCGAAGTACAGCCTCTGGTTGATCAGGGCGCGCTTCTTGGGGCACTTGGGATACAGCGAATCGGTCTTGCCGTACTTCTCCACCAGATAGACCAGAATGGCGCGCGACTCCCACAGCGCGAAGCCATTGTCCACCAGAGTGGGGATCGTGTGCTGGGGATTGATCTTCAGGAATTCGGGCGTCAGATGCTCGCCGGCCTGCAGATTCAGCAGCTTCTTGTTCAGCTCAACGCCAACAGCCTTAGCGGCCATGATGACGGAGCGGCAGGGCGAGGAGCCGGGCAGATAGTAGAAGTCGACCATGTTTGTTTTACTATAATTAGAAGAGCACAGAGAATGAACCACCATTAGATGCGCTCTATAATTTCAGCAAAAACATATGGAAACCCATTGGGAATCATAATTAAATATCGGGCTCATGTAGTCTGTATGTATGTAGTCCTGTGATGTCATAGATATAACTTGTTCTATTTTGTTTTCTCTTTTGGGTTTTTTCCACACTATTCACATAGTTTGTTCTATTGTGTTTGGCTCACAAACACAAATGCACACACACTTTGATATATTCATATGTATATAACTTGTCCACTATATATATATATATCTGTGTATTGGAACACTTACTTTATTTTTGCAGAAAACTGACGGCGCACTGTGCTAAGTATCAAGCAAGACTGTTGAGCTTTCCAAGAGACGCGCGGCTTTTATAGACCGCCGGCCGCCGGCGTGAGTCAGTCACCGGCCGCTATGAAACCGGCAAACGCAAGCAACGAGTTATCTACGGTTTGGGGGGAGGGAGCACAGTGTGTACACAAATACACACAAACATGCATACACTCATACATAGACACACCCAGCCAGTTAGATGCCAACAGACCGCTTGTTGATTTCGCGTGTTTGGCGTTGTTTGTATGCACATACACACACACACACACATACATACATACATACAAACTAACTATACATTTTGTTTTCGTATTCAGTCATATAGTTGTTGTTAGACTTTTTGCTGTACATATTTTGCAAAAATTCTCTAATATGTGTGTATATGTTTGTTAGTATGTATGTATGTATGTATACTCTGTATATCATTTATTCATTTGACCATTCACATAATATAGACAGCTTGAGCTTCTATTACGTCCATTATAAACAATTTTGCTTTTGGCAAATTGTGTGAATTCTTTGCAGCTGTTGTTAAGTAGAACTTGAGAAATTTAATATATGAAAATAATCACGATAACTTAATTGTAAAATAATTGTTAAAGCCGGCATGAATACATTTGATCTCAAGCACACAAATGCATGTGTTCTAAGTCGTAAATATTTGTGTAGGCTCAATTATTAAAAAAAAAAATTACAATTAAAAACAAACAACAAACAAATATTCAGTCAAGTAGTTCATTTTCCAATGGCCTTGAAAGTGTCAAATTATACACATACATACATATGTATGTGTATGGACGTTCAGCTGCCCACGCCCTTGACATGCGATCGATCAAGAGCGAAAGCTTTGCCGTTAAAGGCATGTAAATAAACGCTGTGTACAATGTATAACAATATATGCCAGTAATCATTACTTGCTTGTATTGCTCCTATGTATGTATTACAGAGTGTCTGTATGTATGTGCATTTCTTAATGTTATTGACTTTCCATTAAGGGCCAAGCTAAACTTAGTTCAGGGCGATTAGTGTGAAGGGCCACAAATGCTCGCCATTGTAACTAGCTAAGGTCACGCAAAGTCGCCAGGAGCTGTATATAATATATATCAACCTGACTACAACTACATATATAATTATTCTGTAATTACACCTTCGATTTTTATTAGACGCAAAAGATCTATTTCTTTTGATTTAATTTTCTAACATATCTCAAATAAGTATTTATTTTCTGTCCTAAATATATATTTTTTTAGAATATAACAGATGGCCTGATGGCTAGATGTATAAGACTTCATCAGGTTTCATAAAGTTTCAGTTCAAGTAATAGTACCTGTGACGAAATTCAGCTCTCTCATATTAGTAATTTACAAAAAAATAAATGACTTGGCATTTATTTTGTACGTACGACTCGAATATTCTATGCACATCAAACATTTTTTTACTTTTATCAGTTTCGCAACTGGCTAATTTTACTATCACCATGACACTGCATAAAAGCAATTAAATATAAACAATGAGAGCCGGCTCACTATGATGGGGGTACACGTCAGTCAAATCTTCAAGCCAAAAACAACTCGAGCAGCTGAGATCTGAGAGAGCTTTAGTCACTTTTCAAAGTTCCAGAATCTTCGTAGCTCTGAGAAAACCCCAAACATAACAATGTGAAGAAGAAGCCGAAGAAGATGAAGCATAAGAAACCATCGGCAAGTTACTCATTCGTGCATAATTCAACGATTCAATGAAAATCATAAACAATGATTTGGGTTTTTACGCATCGAACTCTGACGAAGAGAGAAAAATGTAAAGAAAGGTCGTGGCGTCTATGAGCTATACACCTATTTATATGTATGTCCGAACAACCGGTTTACCCACTCCAACAACGCATGCGTCATGGAACCCTCTCATAAAAGATCCCACCAGCGGCGCAGAGAGCTTTGGAATCAACAAAGAGAAGAGCAGCTGAATGTGAAGAGATTAATTGTAAGAGAGGCAGTAAAAGATAGTTTGAAATAAATTCAATTTATATACATACATATACCCTCTTCGTATGAAGCTGATAGAGACTAGAGTGACACAAAAAGCTGAACACGAAATATTTAAGATCTGTGGAACGAGCGGATAATAAATTATGAACAAAGATTAGATTGTCTATATATGTACATATATGTAT